CCCACTGTGCTCTGATTGGTCAGCTCGCCCACTACAGCGGAACATCAGTGATTATGTGTTACAATGGCGTTAGCAACCAGAAAATTACACCAGTAATGACAAACAGATGAGAATGCTGCGTGGGTTCTGGGTGCCTTGTTAGCGGGACGTTGCGTGGCTCGCTGCTGCGAGGAGTACACATTCATTTCCTGCTTGCTGCGTGGGGTCTGCGAGACAGCGCGAATGGACTTCTCACCTGAGGGAAAAAGGAGCAAGGAGGAGGATAATTTACTTTTTATTTAGACAATCATGATTGAGGCTGCACAGTGAAATCTGGCACCCATTAATAAAACAATGATCAGTGTGAAAAAACGTCCTGATGACATCTGTGTTGGATTGTAAAACAGCTGTTAGGTAGATGACTGATTATAAATGTCCTAATAAGTCTATCATAGCATGATAGCACATTATCCTATGCCCTTTGTGCCAGGTGGACATCACTTGCCCATCACCTACAGTGTAAGCGCGCCACAGTTCCGCCGCTGAGAGAGTGTGTGTGTGAGGAGCTCCACGGATTGGTCCATTTGATGAGTCCAAATGGATTGTGTGTTAGAGTTTGACTCGCTACAGGGTGTACTTTGAGGGTTTGTGACTTTGCAGGCCGTTTACATTCATAAAAACCTTCATAACACACAAGGGGACGGGTAATAACCGGAAAAGCATGACCTTTAACACATTTGAAATGTAGTTTCTGCTGTTTGCCTCTGGAGGGCAGCACATTCCTATACTTTATTTTGGAGTTACTTTATTGAGCAGTCTTTTTAAGCATGGGGAAACACTGATCCTTCTTTTTGCTTGGATTGTTTTGAAGGCAAGTAGATTAATTTCGATCAGTTATTGAAACTTTATTGAGCTATGCTATTGTCCAATTAGAACTCTGAGAACACACGTCTACACACTGCATCCTGTTAAAAGTAATTGTATAGGTTAATATTATTTAAAGGGGCCTTTTTATGCTCATTTTCAGGTTTCATATTTTATTTTGTGCCTCTACTGTGACATGCTTTAATGTTCAAAAAGGTCTTTATTTTTCTCATACTGCCTCTTTTCACCTTCTGTCTGAAACCAGAGCCCAGTCTGCTCTGATTGGTTATCTGTTGTGATTGGTCAACTGCTTAGAGATGTCCCACCCTTATCACGTACAATGTGTTGGAGATTAAGCCAAGTGCAGTGTTGAATAGTGATGTCACTATGTCACGGATGTAAACAAAGGAGTCCAATGGAGGCGTTTCAGGCAGGGTTGGAGTTTCAGGGAGAGAAACTCCCATTGGAGGGAGCTTTGGGATTTTAGCCTTTGTAGAGCATTTACACACAAACCTATTCAACACACTACAGGAAAGAGAAACGCCCCAAAAAGCACAATAGGGCCCCTTTAAAAGACTTCCTTTTGTCTGCACAAATTAAAAACAAATATGTATCACATGACTCAACCCTCAACCCTCATACAGACATTTTATAAAAGTAGTTTATAAAAAAGGTGATAGTGTTATTTGTTTTGTGTGCTTCCCTCAGCACAACTCCCATAGAGAGAACACGTTTCAATCGGCAAAATGTTTGTCTTTTAGGAAATTACCAATATGATATAGTATATATTCGGTGATTGTAATGTTTTTTTGACAAATGTATCCATGTTTCCTCTTCTAGTTTATCGTATTTACTTATTTGTGTCCTCACTTAACACCTAACAGATGATGCCTGAAATCAGAGTGAAGTTATTTGGCGCCAATCCAAACCGCAAGTTCTTGGATTAACGGTGGATTTGAGGAAGGCAGCGAGGACATGCACGGGTGGAATATACTGTATGAGGTGAACACAGACTTTCATCATACTGAGCGAGAGTCCTCACAATCACCCACCACACATTAAGGTCAAAGAAAAACCTGGTTTACTCCATGCGATGCTACTGATGTGTTCATATATCTTGTTATTTTTCTACGAATGGACTGTGTAATTATACAGCACATGTCTTAAGGACTATTTTAAATTGCATTGCAAATATGTTTTCCTACTCTTGGGAAATGTTACTCTTTACTACTTGGTCAATTTGATCAAAGCTACATATTAGGTCCCCAAACATACACATTTTCAGACTATAATGTGTGTGATTAACTGGTATGTTTGCCAAATATCCCTTGTGTGTGCATACGGACAGCAAAAAGACTGTTTACCAAAGATGTGAAGCATTTAACATAAGAAAAAAAACCAAAGAAATAAATGTATTTGACACAAAGTAATCCGCATGTATGAGATATCTTTATTTACAGCTTGTAAACAAACATTTTACTCAGGCAAAGTTCACTCTACAATGAGGAAAATGTAGTAGCCTAGGTATACTAGCGAAATCAAATTGTGCCTTGCATTAAAAATGTAATACAAAAAAAAAAGGAAAAAGCTTTTAGTGCCACCCAGTGGACTTACGGAATGGCAAGCAGTTGGCAACACAACGTGCCATACTCCCTCAGTGGGTCTAACAGAAAGAATTATCCTCGCTAAATTGGACCAAATCAATGTTTCAGCACCACCAATCCCACCGAATCCATTTAAGACTTACAGTTCTGATGCTTTAGAAACGTACAGCAGTGATAAGGCTTTAATTGCATTTTATTTTAGTGTTTGTGTACACGTTATTTGAAGCAATGTATTTTAACGTGTAGCAAAATGAGCTCCAGGATTCTTGCATGTTTTATCTAAATCCCTTCTAGTAGGGTTGCAACGGTATAGAAAAAAAAGAGAGAAAAAAAAAGTGTAACACCATCATATTATTATTATTGTAATCATCAGTTGCAGTACAGATTTATAACGATAAACGGAATTACGAACCTTTTAACAAAAATAGCATATTACTATGTTTTCTAAAGCATGTTAGCTGCACTATAGCATGTTAAAGCAACTACCAAATAAAAGATAGCATCATCTGTTTGCTTATAAAATATATGTCCTATTGTTATTATAATAAACAATTTAGCATTGTTGGTGAGCGAGAGCACAGTCAGGCTGCCCCTGTCTTTAAATTTTACTCACCCTATTGTCAGTTTGTTTCCTTGACACTGTAGATAAGCAAATGCACCTTGCATAATAACCGTCACTTTTCATACAAAGGTAAACCATGAGACCGTTCCAACCCTACTTCCACACTGTGTAGAGAAGAAGAAGGCTATACTAGACAGTGGCAGTCTAACCTGTGACCTTTAGGCAGGAAGTGAGCTGTGAGTTAGGGTCATATTGTACGCTAATGCACAGGATTAAAGCATTACCATCAGATTAACAAGTTACCTTAGTGTTTCTGGCAGCCAGCACCTCCCAATCCACTGAGGGAATGCAAGATTACAACTCCGACCTCACGGATGGAGTGTGAGGGACGCGTAACAAGCTAGGCTGAAGGAGATTAAGCTCCCTTTCCAGAGAAAACACATGGAAATCCAAATGATTGGCATTTAACGTCAAATTAGCCACTGACAACAAACAGCCATGACTTTTGATAAAGATTGAAATGAGAATTGTCACTTGCATAGAATGCTTTCTCCGTCCTGACCTTTATAAACGATCAGATTAGTAGGCAATTAAGTTAGCAGCCTCGAACAACATGCAGCAGCCTCTTATCCCGACAGAATAGTCTCTCTCAGGTGAAAGAAACAGCTCCAGACATATTGCGGCAAGAACACAGGGATAAACCCCGACACTTTGGGACACATACCCTCCGATTAGTCACACACATACACAGGTCCCTGTTTAACCTACGGAACCCCTTTGACAGCATGTAAGATCCTAGAGAAACATGATTAGAGTGAACCCTTGGGTCCACATATTAGTAAAAAGAGCCTCTTCATATTGTAGACCATTCCTCGTCCTTTGATTAGCAGATGGTGGCCGTATTTTCTCTCTTTCTGTATTCACCTTTCACTCAGTTGTGTCATTCATTTGTCGCAGAGACAACAAAACCTCCACCTCCAATGCAAAGCAATGCTATCCCAGCAAATCTAGCAGCTTCTCCCCTACCCCGAGAAAGTAGACGCCCTGCGCAATGCCAAACAGGGGAGCGATGACCAAAGCACGACATGTTGCACCCTTCAGGAATGCTGATGGGCCCTCCCGCATCATGATGCGCCTGGAAAAGTACACAGACAACAGGACCGGATGAATGAAAGAAAAATGCTACAAGGTTCCTACACTCATGAATACTAAGGCAAAATATGTTTAGTTAAAGACTCAAATCTTACTGCGTGCAGTCAACAATTCCTTTGTACGTGTCCTCGCCCGCCCCTTTTTGCAAGGTCTGCAGACGAGTCTTGATGACTGTAAACAATAAAAACACAGAAGTACAGTCAAATCAAAGACGTCATTTATAACAGGATGGGGCCAAACAATTACAATCACAGGAGAATTGTAAATAATGCACACATGTAGTGTAATGATAACCACAGTTAAGAGGTCAAATTAAGTTTGAGTACAAGGTGCTATACAGTGGTAAACAAAAAAACGAAATGAATTACAGTATACAAAACCGATTGTTGCAAAAATGACTTTAGATTTGGTGAAGAGCGGATCTTTACTTTTCTAGGACTCTGAAATAGAAATGTAGGGCTTGTTACCTGACTTGGTACTTGAATGCAAAATACTTGGGACTATTTGGGAACAATGACTTGGCCCATCTCGGTACTTTACCATATTTCAATGAAGCATTGCAATTACGACTGTTGATACACATCTTTGTGAATAGCAGAGGTGGTTTCATTCTACCACTCACCATCCAGTGGTGTAACAGCCACAGCTGCCACAGAGCCTGCGCCGCAGCCTGCCATAAACGACTGCCAGAATGGCGCCCGGGCCTGCACATCACCCAGTTTTTCACGGCCCAGCGCGTTTAGGTTGGCAAACAGCGGGAAGTAGATCATTGAGAAAGGGACATCTCTAAAAGAGATAAACATGGGATGAACTAAAAACATAGAGGTAGAGTAGAAAAGCTGAAAGAGAAATGGCTCCATTCAACCCCAGTACAGAAGCCAGACATAGCTGTAGGCATCCATTGATTAATTAGAGTTGATTGGCGGAGGGGCCAGGAAATACGACAAACGCAGTGTAAGTTATGCAATGAACAATCGACTCCCTACACTAAAGCAGTGATGATTGGGTTGAAATAAAGTACAATCCAAGCCGTAGCAAACAAGAATCTGCGCATGGTCATGGGGGACGGAATATTTTCCAAGGTTTAAAAAATGTCTGGAATAGTTCAAAAATTGATATAACAACATGTCAAAAGTTACTGACAGTTTGCTTATAGATAGCTCTAGTTAGCTACAGACTAAGATAGCTCTAGTTAGCTACAAACCTCTAGTTAGCTACAAACTTCTAGTTTAACGTGAAAGTATCCTAAATGTTTTGTTCAGCAAGATAATCTCGACGAATGAATATGACGTCACGTTTGAAACATAACTGCTATTGCTAGAAGTCAATCGAACACCGCGGTCGCATGACTTCAACTTTATCACCACTAAGCTAAAGGTGGACTTGTTGATGTTTAGTGATTAATTTAGTGATTTAATTATGTTTAGCCGTCACCTTTAGCATCTTGTTAGCAACTGCCTTTTGTGAGACACGTAAAAGCTTAACATTTTACGAGTGAGTTGTTTGATCACATTATTTATCGTGACGAACAAAACATAAACATCTCTTAAACTTGGGTTTAACACCGACCTGATTTTAGGCATATGAACAGAAATGCATACATGCATGTTAGGGATGTGCATCTCCATCACTGAGGCCGATGCGATGCGCATCTCGATACGTTGCCACGATACGATACATTAACGATACCTTTGAAACACCAGGCGATGCGATACGATACGATTCACCCTTTGTCTCGATACAGTTCGATACGATTTGATTCAACATTATGCGATTCGGGGCGATACGATGCGATTCAACACGATGCAAAAATAATGATACTTCAATATGGTACGACAGAGGATTTTTGTTTTATTCCTTATATGCAGCAAATCATACATTAACAAAAAAGTGCTTTACATATTTGGTACTGCACATCCCATCATGCCGTTTATTTTTTTACCTTTAAAAGCTCTCCAGAGTACAATTGTATAACACCTCACAGTTAAACAATGTAAGGATGCATTGCTCATGATTAACAATGTGCAAATAACAGCTACCATAGAGCAATGCCCATACAGCTGCCAGCCTGATGTGCTTAACACTCAGAGGCTAACTCACCAGTGAGCAGAAAGCAGTGGTTTCTATCTGAACAATAAAGAAAACAAATAACCTTTCACAAACAGGTATTTCATAACTGCTTACAGTAAGGAAGACATTTAAATTATTATTCTACAAATTCTAAGTGCAACTAGCCACGTGACCGTTTGAAGTCTAGTCACGTGGCCAACTCTCTCACTCGTTAGCCGATGTCAAACCCAACTTGCGCCCAACTGGCGCTACGTAGCTAACGCATCGCAGAAACGTAGCCATTTGCTAAGTAAGTATAAGGGGAATAGATAACAGGTTGGCGAGTCTGTCTTGCTAAAACTATAAAACCGAAAGCGGTGATGCCTTGCCCAGAGTCAAAGTTGTCTCAACTCCTCTTCTCTTTGTGCCGCGTGGCTTTTTATGGATGTTTAGTTGTGCAAACCGTTGTGAGGAACCTAACAAGTTCTTTCTGCCACATTATCAGGGAATTACGATATTATCAACTGGCGTCCAGTACCTCTCATTATTTTCCATAGGCATCTGGAAACATACTCCATTAGAAATAATGAATTAGTCCAGATGTCGGTACTATGTATCTAGGCAGGATCTACGCTGGAACGTATGTGTGGTCATAGTGAGGCGTCCGGCGTGGGGGTAGTCATTGCAGGGACTACCATTATACACGCCGCCGTGATAATGACTGGTCTGCCAGTTGAACTTTTTAGTGAGCGTTTAAACAATTGCTACGGCTCGGCGAAATTTCATGTGTTCATCATTGCTCCTTGAAATCGCTGCGTGTATTTTCTCCGCTGCACCCAAGCGCCGACTTTCTCTTTGGACTTTCACTCTGTGTACTAATTAGTGAGTCACTCCACAAGACAGTGTCTCTTTCCACAAATCGAATGTCGGTGG